CCACGTATTAAAGTATAACTTGTACACACATCCCACTATATAAACAAGTCTTTTGTTTCTTGTAAACTTTCGATGTGGAATTCCTAACCATATATAAAACACTTAAAATTGGTTTATCAACTTAAGGGCCTCTATTGGAGACTTTTCCAATTCACCCAAATTAATTGTAATGGCACACATCATTAAATATCACATTTAATGATTTAGTCCAATTAAATTCAATTAATTCCAACACAAAGCACCCGTAAATATTGGGCTTGGAGACCAGATGATGCTTGTCACCCTCAGAGCCTACCCAATTTGCCGAAGAAATATAGTTTCCCCTTGAATCCTGAGTGGCATGTGTTGTAATTTGGTGTTCAACTTATAACGATGAGTATACTGGAAAGACAACACATCCGTATGGGTGTGTAGAGCAAGTACGGAAACACTGGAAACGAAACGAGAAGAAAAACCAAATGAGGATCGAAAATGGACTGGGCGATCGCCCGGCATTAGTCTTGGCCCATGTTCTAAAAGGCGCGCCTAGGCGCGACGCACGTACAAAATGCGTCAAAATGGGCCATGCGGGTAAAAATACGGTCAACGATTTTTGTTGACCGCCTAGGCTTCTCAATGCGAGCATAGGCGAGCATCAGGCGAGCCTATGCGCGACTAGGCGCTCATTGAGACGTCTAAATTTTTTTATTTTTTTTATATAAAAATCTATTTATTATATTAAAATAATATTAAAAGTATGAAACGCATTATGACACCTATTCTCCGCATTGACATGCTTAAACTTGTGATTCTTGATTCTCGACCTCGACGCATCGCAACGCATTACGCATTTTAGAACACTGGTCTCGGCCACCTGAAAACTCTCAGGTGGCCTGGGCGATCACCCGGTTTTATACTAGGTGATCACCCAGTTCAAAAATCAGACCGTTGGTCTGAATTTTCTGGTCCCTTTTTTGGCACCTTCTCATGAACCATTAAGGCACTTTCGTGGTGTATGATTGAGAATTTATATATATGAGTTCATCCCTAAACATGATCAAACCACCAACAATTGAAATCATTACATATTGAAAGAGTTTTACCAAAGTCTCTTTACATATTCATCATTTTGAGTGTTCTTAAAGTTCAAAGGAGAAAACACAAGTGCTTATTGTCTTTCTTCTTCTAAGGCTTGTTAAATCCTACAAAACATTTGCCTTGAGTCCTTTTAAGCATGAAAAACAATCTTAGAGGGGGCAAATTTAGTTTGAGAACAGCTATTACGTGTTCAAGTCAATCTTCGGTGTTTCTCTTTTCTTTTTTTTCTTTTATCCATTCCCTTGTTAGGATCAAGTTTTTCCAGCAGCATGTTGACAGCAGAGGCTCTGTTTGCGGCAGTAAGAACATTGGGCCAGTCCCTACCTCATGTTCAATATGCTATGAGGATTTTGATTTCACAGACTCGAGTTTTTCTTTCTTGTTTGTGTGGATTCAGGCTCTGCCTTTTCTGTCACGAGAGGATACTTGAGGAGAATGGACGAATGTCCAGGTGCAGAAAGCAATATGAAACCAATCCTGTCGAGGGAGAGGCAACATCGGATGGAGGCAGCTTAACTTTTCTGGTGGCTTGTTCTTGTGCATGATAACAAGGTCGTATGAAGTCTCTCTGTTTCCCTTGAACTTGTAGCTCTTTTTCCTCAGGGTGTAGTGTGTGTTCTTACTGTCTAAGTTTCTGATTTTAACACATTAGATGTTGAAGTACAGAAGAACCATTCTAGTTGTTGTATAATTTTGTGGTGCTTGTTATGATGTAGAGGACGTCATTATGTGAATGGATAAGGCTGTATAGAAAGCGAATATACTAAATGTAGTTCGATACAATTTCCTCCCTTGGTGAAATTAGTTAATTCACTCAAATTGCACAAGTCCAAATCAAAATATATTATTTATACAACTGAATTCAATAAATTATTCAAATTAAGCAAGCTGACATAAAATTAAACATAAACACACCAATCCCAACAATAAAAATAGAAATTAACAAAATGGGAACACTACAAAATTAAAGAAAAATGGATTGAATGGCCAACAAGTTGGGCAATTATCATTTCTCAGCAATAAAAACATTTCTTGCTACCATAATGATAAGAATCAAATGTTCTGTTGTCATTTAGCTGGTTCATCAACTTTTCTGCAAAGTTGATTGAAATATCCAGTGGTGATTTGGACAAAAATGGATAAATTTTAGGATGCTTTCAAAGAAGGAGAAGCATTTTTTTACTCGAGATTATATTTTGTAATTTAAACACAAAGAAGGTTTGTGATTCTTATACGGGACACTTTTATTAAATGACGGGATTTTAATGAATAAATGTCACACGTTAACCTTTTAATTTTTTAGTCGACAAAACATAGTTGTTAGGGGCTGTTAGGTATTTCATGTAGTTGGCAAGTCTGTGAACAAAAAGGACTAAAGTTGATATGTTGTAAAAAGTCAAGGAGTTGTGTGCAATTAGTGAAAGTTATGATATTTTAGGTCTAGGGTTCGAGAATGGAAAAGAAGGAAAATGGCGCCAGAATATCGCTAGCTTATAACCAAGATTTGGCTCAAGCGTCAGAAACAAAAACTGCATCGCCCACCTGTTGCCTCGCCTTCTCTCTAGCGACAACCTGTCGCTCGACTGTCATTCACCCTTCACTTAAGCAATAGTGCTATCCAAGAATTTTTTTAATTCGTTTTTTAAAGGTTTTTTGTCCGACTCATTCATTCCCTAACCTACATATAAATATCCAAACGCCACAGAACATTTTTGAGAAGGTTGATCATTAAGCAAACACCTAACTTTTCATATTCTTTTCATCCTTTTGAGATTTCAACCTTCGTCCTATTATTGGCTTTTGGCAGTGAAAACATCAGATTCATAATCCAAATACCAAACTGTTGCTTCCTCTATATCTATCAGAGTCTCTGAAGATCAAGGGATGGTGACTGGAGTTCCAGTCATTGAAGAACGCAGTGTTCTTCGTGAATCCACGGGAAATAGACGATTTCACAAAGTTGGGAGTTGCTGCAGGATAGCGCAATCCAGAAGAGTTTCAGAAACTGCAACTGGGAGTTGGTGCAGGAGCACAAAATCCAAGAGAGCTGTTGGAATTACAATCAGGAGATCAAATAGTACGTATCGTCGTCTAGTCTGGTAGACTATAAGTTATAAATCGTTTATAGTGGATTGTTAACTGACAAAGTGCCCGGAGTTTTTATCCAGTTGGGTTTCTCCGTGATCAATTATGTGTTGTTTATTGCTTTCATAATTGCGGTAATTCAACATAGAAAAATATGAATTGCATGATTAACCATCTAGAAAATAATTAATAGTGACTTGTTGCTATTTAATTGTTAAGTAATTTAATTCCGCATAATTACTTATTCACCCCCTGGTGTTGTTAGGGTCAAACTACGTATTTTCAGGGGCTAACAAAAGACATGGATTCAAATCTAGCGGCGAAATTTGATTCTATCTACACTTGAGGAGACTTGTTGAAGCTTAAACTTTCTAACAAGATGTTTAACAAATAGTTATGGGAAAGATAGTTCACCAATCTTTATAATGGATTGGATTGGAGACTATATAGAATTGAGAAACTTTACATAAATCATGTCTAAATCCTTCTCAAAAATCATCATCTGAATCACTTGAAAATGTTCCCGAATTTTGTGTCCTAAAATAAGGCTGCAAACTGGGAAATCTCACCGGGGATCTTGACAATGGCGATAATGGCGGTGATGATCCTGTACTAGTCTGTTTTTTCGTCTGCAGTTTCTTCGATATATCGACACAAACTTGATCAACCATGTCCAAGAAATTCTTCACAATAGCAAATAATATAAGTGGATTTCTGCCTTTATCTTTAGAATTTCCTCCTGCTTGATAATATACTGTTGTTTTCTTCACAAGTTCCATTACCCTTGATTGTTCATCTCTCACTACATGTAGTTCCTCTTCACAATCTTCTAGAAAGCCTTTCATTTCGATGGAGAATTGACCCTGTTCGTGATCCTTGCAGCGTGTTATGAGCCTTTTGATGTCGTCAATTTTGGCTGTAAGAGTTGAACACGTGTTGATGAAACTGTCATGATCGATGGTGGCTGATTTCTTCACATTGGATAATTCAGTACTTAAGCCTAATACCACTGGTAATCCTAGCATTAAGTACTCTTTATCTCTTTCTCCTTCAGAAATCTTGCTATCTGAATCTCGTTCGGCATCGCCATTTTTATCAGTTTGATTGATTAAACGACGTTTTCCCTCAGAACAGATTACCTGCTCGACTACGAATTGAAGTAGAGTAGTCTTTCCATTTGTGCTTTTGACATCAGACAGTTTTAGCAGCGCACTGAGGTTGAAGCCTTGAGCATTTCCTCGTTCTGTACCGGCATTCATTCGATTGCCAGCCTTGAGAATGGCTTCAAGCAGTTTAAAGAAAATTCCGGGAGTTCTTAGTTCCTTACATCCCAATTCAAGAGTCTGCAGAGATTTCTTGAGATAAAGTATCTCTGGATCGTATGTCGATCTAAAAAGCATCGCATTGAAACGCATAAATGCTGAAGGAATGACTTTCAATACATGGTATAGGAAAGACTCTGCATCAGCAAGTTTTGCAGGGTTCCCATTGAATTGGAGGATTTTGGTTATTTCATCTTCTGTAGGGGAAATCTTGGTTAATTTTTCGAGGGTATCAGCATCGAGTCCTCGGCCCTCCACGAGAGCCTCAAGGATTTCTTTACGAGAAACTGCAAGAGATTTAATAATTATTGCCTTGTTTTGGGATTGTCGAGGTTCGAGGATGAAAATTTGTGCTGGTGGAGCTGATTTAGAACTGCCTGAATTTGAGGATAGGCCATTTCCGCCAGTCGGTTTCTGTCTAATTGTAGTGTATCCAAAGAGGTTTTCCATGAGTTCGTCATCAAACCTGACAGGACAACACAGAATCAATATAAGGCTATGTTTGGTATCAATTCTCATTTTCAACAGTAAATCAATTCTCATTTTCAACCACACATTTTTCAATAAAATAATATTTTCTATCACATCAATAATCTTATCTTCTTTTTCAACCACACATTTCCCATCATATCACTATTCAAAATCAATTCTTAAAATAATATTTTCTATCACATCAATAATCTTATCTTCTTTTTCAACCACACATTTCCCATCATATCACTATTCAAAATCAATTATTTCCCCCAAAAATCCCTACCAAACACACGCTAAGTTCAGAAAGATTCTGTTTGAAAATTTCACGACATAGAAAATCGACAGTAAATTCTTGTACTTACCTGAAAGATCCATCATTGATTTCATCCCAGACCATTGAATGATCAGCATTGGCAACAACCTTATCCCAGTGTAGTGGCTTAAGTTTCATTAGAATTTCGCCATCTTCTTTCGTGTTTTCTACTGTATCCACATTGCTATTTTTGTTGATATTCCCTCTAGGTGGAATAGGTGGCTTCCAGGGTGAAAATGAACCGGTTCCGGACTTAACCGGTGGATGTGGTAGTAAAGAAGATTTTGCCTTAACCGAAAGTGGTGGTGGAGATGGCTTGAGCTTTCTTTTTTTAGGAAGTGGTGGAGGTGGAGGTGGAGGTGGAGGAGGAGGTGGAGGTGGGGGAGGGGGAGGGGGAGGAGGTGATGGTGGTGGAGGAGGAGGAGGATGGTTAATTTGATTTGCAGAAACGACGATGGAGAGTGGTGGAAGTGGAGAATGTGGCGATAGTGCAACCGCCAATGATTCTGATGTGGTTGGCCTATTATAAGTAGCATTAGACACTGGTTTCTCCTTTGCAGAATCAAAATCATGGCTGTGTAAATGAAGCGATGGAATTTCTTGAATTGGCTGAGATTTTCTTCTCTTCTCTTCTTCATTCATAGGATTATTATACCAAACCTTAGAAACTCGGTTCGGAAAATCTCCCCCTTCGACTTTTCTTAAATACAGAACATCAAATCCATCTTCATCTACTATAACTCCTTTGACTGCTCCACCTTGTTGTCTAAATTCTATGTCAGGCAATGCTGCTACATCCTCCCTACGAAAACTCGAATCGAAATTGTTTCTCTTACGCTGTCGAGCTATGGAAAATCTATAGAAAAAATAGAACAAAAACCCAGTAATAATCAAACTGCACACTGCTGTGGCTGCAACAGCCTTTACTACTACATTTTGTGATGAAGTCATTTGCGCCGATGGGATCGAAAGTTTGTAACTCCAAACAGTTCAGAATTGCTAGTCAATCCTATTTTCGATACGAGTTACAAATTTTCCATTTGGTGGAGACTTGCCATTGCATAATTTTTCTGGCTTTCATGTAAATTTCAATGGAGAAGACAAAAAATTCATTTACAAGAAACCTTGGTAGTTGGCATAACTTTGGGACTGTCTGCAAAGTAAATAGAAAACTTCTTAGAATAAACAAAGAAATATTGCCCCATTGGTCCTCAACCTATTTCTCGTGCAGCAAATTATGTGCAAGTTAGTTCTAAACGTTTTATTATAGTTACATAATCAATTGTCAACAACGAAACCGTTCTAATCTTTGTTAAATTGTCTCATAAACTATGTGATAAAATGTGTCAATTCAATTGGAATCGGATCAAGATAAGAAACAAAATTTAGATTCAGAAAGAATGTGATGGACGAAAGTGTAATTAAAATTTGAAAAGTTCAATTTTTCTAGAACTGATATTTGTTATTTTCCTATGGTTACAAAATTAGTTCTCGACCGTAGAAACTTTTCAATCTTTAAATTGTCATGTGACTCATGAAAATATACAAGCTCAATTATCGAGGAGCACAAGCTGAGGCTGAGAAAGAAAACCTAACTCCATACGCTATTTTTTTATTTTTCTTTTCCTTTCGAGAAAGCAACCTTTATTAGTGTCCTGCGCATATCAAAACAACATGATCTAAGAACTAAAGTAAGCCCCCGTTTGGCCCTCATTTCTTAAAAACTCATTTTTCAAACTCATTTTCAACCATACATCATATGGGATCCACAACTTTTTAACAATACATATAACTAACTTTTATCAAAATCTACTAAAAAGGTAATGTTTATCCAAACCAAACAGAGTCTAAGTAGGGTAGCCGCCATTGTATTCAATATGACCAAACCTTAAAAACATATCATTCTTTGCCCAATGCCGACTTAATAATGTTATTAGTCACTAACATCTTAATAAAAACTTGGATAGTCTGTACTCGAAGACTGAATTCACAACTACAACAACTTGCTCCAGTTAAAGTTTAAAGTTTGAGGACCAACTCGCTACTTTGACAATAAATCGGGAACCAACAATGCAATTTTTGAAATAAAAAATTCTGAATTGTTTTCTTGTTGTAATTTGATGCAGTCGAGGTCGAGGTTCTTGTCTGTACTTGAATATTGCTTGCTGACAGTTTCTAAGAGGTTGTTGAGGTAATTGCCCAATTTTTGGAGTGGAGAAATGACAGTTATTCCATGCTGCAAAGCCTTTATCAAAGAAGTGGAGGGGTTTTGTGTAATTTGACGGATTTTAAAATAATATATATGTAGTTATAATTTTAAATGGACAGGCGGCTGGTGGCTGGTCTGATCGTTTATTTACATTAATTTTAAAGGGTCCATATGTGTTTGTGTGGCACAATTCACAAAGACTTTAAAGTAGTATCCCCTATTGTGATTATTAAATATTTATTTAAAAAATAAGGATAAATTTATTATAATCATATGTTATTAAATATTTATTTTTTTAAAAAATAAGGATAACTTTATTATTTATTTACTATAGTCATATTTTTTACATGTTTCGTGACATTTTCATTGAATTTTCTTTTAAAAGCCCGATTTGAAGAATATATAGATAGATTATTTGTATGATTCGATTGTTATAATAAATTATTACCTCGTCTACTAGTTAATTTGTTTGAAGAGATAATAATAGTATTTTGCTATATTATATTAGTATTCTGTCACGTAGACATTCAAATTCACAAATTTAAATAACTTGAGGATTAGGGGTGAAAAAATGTCTCATCCTGCATTGTCCCACTCTCCCCGTCCTTTTAGATAATCAAGACGAAGACAATAAACATGATCCCTATCCCGAATCCGCGTGATTGTAAATTTTTATTATCTATTTTTTAAAGTTAAATTGTATTTAAAAATAAAAAATATTAGTAATTGAATAAATATAAGGTGGTAGATCGGAGTATTTTAATCCCAATCTCACCTCACCTCACCTCACCTCGCCTCGCCTCCCAGAAATTCTCAACGAGATGAGGGATGGGGAGGGCTACCCCATTTTTCATCCTCATTAGGAAGAGAAGTTTGTTTTGAAAAAAATGGTGATCTAAAACTACACTCGTTAAAAGGTTTGAGAGTTTTAACCTATTTAAAATTCTCAACTATTAGAAAGAGTGTTGCTATTCATAAACTGTGCTTACGTATTATTAGTTATGTGGCATTAACTGTTTTGACATCCTAAATCCTATATTTAACAAGGCAATTAAAATGGAAAAACACTTAAAGTCATATGAATGACACTTTAGTGCTCGTGGGTAAATAAAGATGATGAATAACATTATTTTATTATAAAAAGACAATCCATCCATTGTGTACCGAGACCAAAACTTTCGAAATTGTTATCCCTTTGGAATATATATGTTTGACATATCGACACAGGTCTTTATAGCAAGAACTATGCTACACGAATATAGGGGATGACCGAACACACACACCTCGAGAGTCAGGCATTATTTTTATTAACTCGGGACTCGCGCAATGTGAGGATCGGTCACCCCTTCGGTCATCCAGTTTTGGGCACTTCAGCATAATTCTTATAGCAATGGGAAGATGTCAAGTTGTAATATGTCGAGAGGTGGTGTGTTGAGGTATCTAAAATATATTGATATGATAGCCAAGAGGACTGCAACTTTGGGGAAGCATAGCTAGATTCGTGTGTACCAAGCCAACTGGATGAGTGTTCACCTTTAACTAGATTTGTTATGAAAAATATTTTTTTTATATTGAAACAATTTTAATTTTTTTTATATTGAAACAACTTTTTGATAAAATTTGTCCCTATATGACTATATGAGGAAATAAAGATTATTATCTTTTGGGGGCAATTAATTACCCATTATAAATGCTATTTATTGCCTCCACTTGATTTTTGTAAGAAAGCAACCCAACGGTCCGCCTCCATAATACCATAAAAAAAGTTGTTAGATATCAGGTATGAAAGGGATATGACAATAATTTTGTCCATAGAATTAACGGTGTTCAAAAAAAAAAAAAAGTGTAAACGTTATGAGGCTTCAGTCTTAGAATTTAGCAGTATTCTAAAAGGCGTAAACGTTGCTAGACTTCGGGCTAGGCGAGGCCTAAGGGTAAAAAATATTTTCTTATTTTAATATTTTTTTTATATTTTTTATCAATCTAAAAATCATTTAATAATTAAAATAATACCTACCAAATATATAAAATTATAAAATATTACGTTGAAAAAAAAAAGCGCAACTAGATGCAGAAAAAAATAATAATAAAAGCAAATAACTAAATAAATAACAAAAGAAAAAGCACGATGCGAGGAGTTTTGTTCCTGCTTCGCACTTACTCGCCGCTTTTTAGAATACTGGAATTTAGTTCACGAGATCAAACATTGATAAGTATAAAAGGGGAAAAACTTAACCTTTTTTTGTTACAAGAGTTGTCTTTCGCCTTCAAAGTTGGTAAAATGTTGGTCCCTAATAAGTATTTCCGTCCAATTAAATCATTCAAGTACGTGAAATTCACATGTCTCTCTTTTTATCAGTAATATAATTAAGCGCTTAATTAATCCAAAATAAAACAAAAGAACAAGTAAACGATGAAAATGAAACAATAAGGATCATACTACATGTACATAAAGATTGACACATTAATTTACACTCATGTGAGTTGGCAAATATACATCCACCCCACTCTCACTTGCCATACAAGGCTTCCCCTTCCCTGCCTACCGTCGACAACTTCTCCTCCACCTCCCTTGGATTTTCCTCCAACTTTTTATTTATTTCTATAGCTTGATTGAAAATAAGGGAATTACATTTTTTATTTAAAAAAAATTGACTTTTGAATGGGCAAATGGAAGAAAGTGCTCGTTGAAAACTAACTTGCTAGAAATTTGAAAGTTCCACTACTATGTTTCGCTATGTAGAATATAATTTTCCGCTGAAGATAAGATAAATGCAACTCAATTAAATAAGATATCAATTTAAATGGAATATAATGAGATGAATTATGATAGTACTTGTCTCTTTTATTGACCTTAATTATTTATGATTTAAATAGAAGTAAAAGGAATACAAGGCAATTCATAAATGTAGTTTCCCATTGTGGGATGTGTGCATTTATTGTACATTATTCTATATGAGATATGTTATTTAGGATGAACTGCATCATTGACAGCCCCCACTTGCCCTGGGCATTGGTGAAGGAGGTAAATCGCAGGTTATGCCTCTAAGGGTATAGGGTGGAAAGCTGCTTGTACACTTGCACTTACCCAATGACCAAATCCATATTTCAGGATTCGAACCCTTGATGCGACAGCCTCAAGCAAAGCTGGAATTTTTTCTCCTTCCCCTTTTACCACTTAGAGATATGTTATTTAGTCCTATTGGGGTTGCAACATCAGCGTAGGTGACGTCAATATGGCATTAAATGATAATTGAAATTAAATAATTTCATATTTCATTTAACATATTATCTAGCGTCATCTAGATTGGGGTTGCAATCACAATGGGACCACATAGAATTATTTTATATTCTTGAAGTAATTCCACAAAAATTGTTGCCTATTTCAACCATTTGTAACTCATTAAATCCATTAAATACTCTAATAAAATTGGAAGAAAGAAAATGATGGCAACAATTGAGCCAACTGTCAAATTTAATGTTGGATAATTGATGTATCTTGAAAAGTAGAAAACCATTGCAATGAAGGACCACTACCTAGATTGGACATGACAATGTTTGATCCTCGTCCAAATAGCAACATTGGATGCTTCGACTAAAAAAATAATAAACTTCTTTTCATTTAATTGATGGGTCGACATCTTCGAGTTAAATTCATCGTTGAAGCTTAATTTCTTCATTCTTTCATAAAGTTGAAAAGCATATGCTAATGTAATTTTTCGTGTCACAAAGCAATTCTGATAGATGTTTAAAATCTAAAGTACACTGATCATTTACAATATAGTGGTCGATAATTGAGCGCGGCTACAGTACAAGAACAAGTGAGATATGGCGATCTATTCACTTGTTATGATTAAGATAGCGGGTTTGTGATGGATAATCTAGTAGAATCACCATAAATTTAAAAAGTTGTTGGACTTTGCAATTATTTGATATTTATATGGAAGAAGTGGTTGTTACCGCCCACGGTGTGGTAGCGACTTGTCGGACACCCTACTCTTTAGCTTGTATTAAAGGGATGATTATATTATTCTTCAATTTTGACTCGTGTTACACAAGCACGACAATTACATGATGTCTAATGGTACAATGCAAAACACCCATGTAACCACAAATTTAAAATTTGTTTATCGTGTCCAAGTACAAATACAAATCGATTTCATTAATTTCCCTTGGGTCCACTTGGTACATTATTAATTTCTTTAGGGTGAACTTGATACAATATAGGGTATTATGGTGGATATAATTGATATTTCCAGCTCCTATCTACAACTTTTATTCACCTCAACATTAGTACTCTCAAGTCCTTTAAATAATTGTTACATGATAATAAGAAATACTCGTCTTTCTGCTAAATTGAATGTATTGAACTTGAAAAATTCTCGACTGTTCATTTATTTCATAACTAATCATTCTTTCATATCGGTATTGAAGATGAGAAATCTCACTATTTTAGCTTAAAGAACAAAAAGAAAGTCACGACTATAATTTTTAAACAAGGTAAGCAATGAATGTAGGGATGCTATTGGAGTTTTTTTTTTTTTTTTT